GGGTGGGGAGAACCTAAAGACAGGGGGCAAAAGAAGAGGCAAAAGTAGGTGTAATTGCACCCGGTTTTAGTGAGAGATGCTGTGAGCCAGGTGAGCTCTCGGGGAGGCTTCTCTAGGCTGGGGTAGAATTTGTACATTTGGGGCAAACATCCCCCACCTACCCAGGCCACCACCGGACTCCCTTTTGGAATGTCCATAAATCAGAGCTTTTCCCCATCTGTACCCAGAGTCATGGCACAAAGATCTGCACAACTGCAGGTTTTTAAATTTAAAAAAAAAAAAAAAAGAGAGATATTTTCCTTTCTGAGCAGCAAAGGTGTCCTTGAGGTTCTCCATATTCTTAGACTCGATATTAAAACACTTCTTATTTATTCTGTCTTCTACAGCTACAGAAGAACTAATTGTCCCGTGTCTGGTGTATGCCATTAACGTGAGAGAAATGATGAAAAATGCAAAGAAAAATCCCCGCCTACCTGCACGGTCAGAGCTCCGTTTTCCTGTTTACTCTCCTTATACTTCCTTTGCACCCGCAACAGGGAGATTTTTTTTTTTAAAAAGGTTTGGGGGGGGGGGAGGGCGGGGGGAAGCCTGTGTTAAGCCTGTGACCCCTTCCAGGCTGTAAAATGTTAGCAAAAAAACTCCTTATGACTCACAGGAAGCTGGAGGTTAACTCCATGTAGGAAAAAGGGAAAAAAAAAAAAACAAGCCACCAAACAAAAAAACACCAACAACCAACACACAAATAAATCCCCCAAAATGCACCTCGAAAAGAAAAAATCAGCGACAAAATAACCCTCAAAAAATCATGTTACACTCTGCAGGTAGAAAGCAAATCTGGAGCGCAGGGAGTTTTCTAAGCGATGGAAAGGAGAGGGAAGGATGATATTATTATGCCAGCAATAAAATCCAGCCCCTGCTCCTTCGCTGTGACACAGGCCCGGTGCCATCCCTGCACCGAGGATGCTCAAACCAAGGGGGTGGCACAGGGTGGTTACCTGTTGTGACCCACACAGTCATCTCCTCGCTGCAGTGTCCTGCAGCTGAGCTGCACTGCGAGTTCCCCATCCTCTGGCCACCTGGGTCTGCTTTTTTCCCCTTGAAATACTATATTGCGTACACCAAGAGGTTAGAAATGATTATACTTAAGAAAGCAAACCCAAACTTGTGCCTCCTGTGGTTGGAGTGGATTTGGAAGGAAAGTTTTGCCTGGGACTATAGAAAAGACGAATATCTTTGAGTGGGACAGAGATGCAGATGATGGATAGGGAAGAGGTGGACGGATGGGTAGGTCTAGGGGTACATGGATGGATGGATATATTTTGGAAACACGGTGTTTGTGGGTACATGGGTGCATTGAACGTGTGGGTGCATTTTCAAACACACATTACGAGGGAGGGGTGTCACTTTTCTCACCTAAATCGCTCGTTATCATTTGAATCAGTAGAAATTATTTCTAGTCGCCAGTACAGATCAGGAGAGTAAAGAATTAGCAGGCCATCGCTTGGTCTAACCCCACACGATCACACACCTCTCCCCACATCCCCTCCCCTCCAAGCATTTCTAACCCCGTATAGACAAACCCTCTGCGTGTTTGTGCAGCTAAATTCACCTTTAAAGACTAAGTCCTTTAGGACCCCGTGAAATATTTTTGATTATCAACTGAAAAGCAGGCACCCAGCTTGCACAGAGGTTAGGGAGAGGCTGTTCAGCATAAAGCCAGCCTCCTGAACAGGAAAGTCTCCCTGCACCCTGCTTCCCTGCCTTTAATTTCCAGCTTTTGCATTTGTGTTTACAGGTTTTCAGAGCAGAGTTTTTTTTCAGGGTTGCACTGGCCACCCCCTGACTGCTCAGAGAGAAGCCAGAAGTGCAGATGATGATAGCAAAGGTATTAGGAGACACATGGAGCAGGACAGGAAAAACAGCCCAAGGAAGGAAAAGCAATCTCTAAAGTGTGCTAAAGGGGGACATTCTGCTTTGTGTAAAAGAGACGGACATGTGTCCACCAAATGTTGTCTTACCGTAAAAAGGAGGTGGAAAAAAAAAAAAGAAACCGGTGACTGCTTCAAATTCTAGAACTCCCCACCCCAGTACCTCCACTTTGAACTTTTTAAAATTATTAGTATTTTTTAAGGAGTGGAGGGGGGGCAATAGATGTGAACTGGTTCAAGTGTGGACGAAGTGTCCCCCAGCAGATGTGGCGACTTAGCTTTCTAAAAAGAATTCTCTCCAGGGCTTTTCCCCTCGATTTTGCTATATCTGCCCAATTTTGTTCATTTTCCTCTATCCGAGGGGCCGCGGAGCCGGAGCATCCGGCCGGGGCCACCTGCCCGCCCCAGCCCGGAGTGAGGGGCCGCAGCCCCTGCCGCAGCCCCCAGCCCAGGCTCTGCTCTCCTGCCCTTCCTCGCGAACTTGTTTATTTTCCCAAAGAAAAAGGCTGCTCTCTGCCTTTTCCAGAAAGATGTCCCCCTTCGAGGGAGAGAAGGAAATCTGTGGGATATCGGTGAGTTCAGTAAGGTTTGGAGGGTCCCTGGGCAAACTGCAGCCTCTCCGGTCATTTTTCCATAGCACTTCAAGACATGCTGGAGACATAACAGCGGTCATTCAGTGTCTCCATATGGTAGAAACGAACTACGGAAATATGAGGAAACTCATTGGTATTATTGGGGAAAAAAAAAAATCGAAACAAGAAAGAAGGAAAAAACAAAAAAAGAAAGGGGGAAGGGGAAAAAAAAAGAAAAAAAAATCCCTGGGGAAAAAAAAACCAAACCACAAACCCAATGGTCTCTACACAGGCCGAAAAAAAAAAAAAAAAAAAAAAAGTGCACCCATTTCTTTGGCAAGCAGATGAAAATAACTAAAATCAAAAGGTGTTAACAACCTGAAGAGCACAGACAGAATACAGTTAATTGAAATGCAAAGGCGTGGGCCAGATCTGTGGCTGTTTGCGAGCGGTATAAACCACAGCGAGTCACCTCCAATAAACCAGCAAGAGCCCTTTTACACGGCGAAGGACAAAAACAAACTTCGTCTGAAGTACACACGTCCCCCGGCAAAGACAGGATGGAGTTTGCCTTGCGATGATAATGAATCTTTACAGATTTTCGCTTTCTCCCGCTTCCACAAAGTTTACTCGCGGGCCTCGAAGCTGTGATGGAAACGTAACGCAATTCCAGCTCTCGGGAGGATAAGAATTAGGACCTTCTAAAAGTGAGAAATAAAGCTTTGAAAGAGAGACAGACCCTCTTTCCTCCCCGCTCAGCCTTTAGCCATATCAACCCTTTAAAATAGTTTAAGCAGATAATATTTCAGAAGAACTTACTTTCAGGACTCCAGTCTATTGGCTCTCTGGACTGAAAACTGGACCCGCAAAACATGTTCCCTGCAATTGCAACGTTTATCTCATCTGGAAAAGTGCTCACCCATTGCTGCCCCTTACAAGCCAAACCAAGCAGTTAAAGTGTCACTTAACATTCTAGAGAATGTGAAATATATTGTACATTGTCAACTCCCCAAAACCATAAAACTAACTTTATGGACCTCACGTGACTTTTGAGAGCCAGTGAGGGGTATCTGTCTGAGGTCTGGGCGATTTTTACGATCTAACTTCTAGATAAAACCCTATCCATTTGACATCTAAATGTCATACCCACTTTTGGTATAGTTTGCTATTGGTAAAAAAAAAAAAAAAAAGAGAAAAAAATATCAAGGGAAGGCGAGCAAATGGTTTGGGATCTGACAGTCCACTTCACATCCCTCTCAAAATCACTTAAGAAGTACCTAAACAGTGGGAGATTAAGTTTGGTAAGTTTTAAGCTCCAACTTTACTTGCTACGAACAAAAAGCCTGAGCCGCGTTGTAGAGATGTCAGTGGCGCTTCGCCAAACCGAGCGACTTTTAAAAGCGGAGTTATCTCGTGCCTGGCTGGATTCCCCAGGTAGCGAAACGGCAACATTTGCCACCTTTGAGGATGTTACGTTATCTGCAGCCGAAACGACTCGATGTAGTGGTGTCAGGAGTCACAGAGCTGCGAGCTGGTGGTTACGTGTCGAGCCGGAGAGCGGGAGGTGAAAGCAGCGAGCGCAACAAACCGAGGGCGAGAGGCAGCGGAGAGAGAGCAGCTCAGCGCAGAGATGTGTTTTATGGATACATGTTATGTCCATGTCATAAACATCCCTATCCAAACACACGGATCTGCAGTTCTATAGAACGCGGGTTTCGTAGGTGCGGGTAGAAATAACCTCTGGCTTTGAAAATGCGCGTGTGCGTGGTGCGTGTCGGTGCCTGAAAATTCCTGAAATGCACGTAAATCTGCCGGGGAAGCGTTTATACCGCGTTCTTGCAACCTGGAGTACTTGAAACCACTTTCTCTGGTGCGGTGGGGTGGGGGCAGTCTGTGTTGGTTTGGGGGAGACGGCGTTTCGGGCAGTGCGGAGGGTCGTGGGTTATTCCCGTGCGGTGCCAGGAGGGTTTTTGGTGTGAATATTTGGTGTTTCGGAGCTCCCAAGGAGCTGCCCAGGAGGGGCTGCAGCTCTGCGGAGAGCTCCTCGCACAGGCTCAGCTCTGTGCCATGGCTTCGGCGTGTGCTGAGAGTCCCAGACTCTCCAGAGTTGTGGATAAAGTGCAACTGGGAGCCTTTGTGAGTAGGAGAAACGTTTATTTGACTTCGAGTAAAGCTACAAACAAATACAAAAAGCTTATTGGCAAAGTACTAACAGGCAGCTAGACATGACAGATGCCATTTTTACACATAACATTGCATTCACTCTGCCCACTACAAACCGTCTATTAGTCACATCAGAAATATTTCTAGTATTTACAAACATTAGAGCACTCCATTGTTGGTCCGATTTTATACATTATTATTTTTTTTTTAATAGTAAAAGTTTAACCACGTCTAAGAGTACGTCTCGGAATTAGCCTGGGAATAGAAATCCTGGCCTGAAGTTTGAACTAAAACACAGACTGGACAATTTTAAGACAGAAAGATACAAGAGCTTTTTCTTTTTTTCTGTTTTTTCCCTTTTTTCTTTTTTTTTTTTTTACATTTTTGTTTGTTTTTTAGATATTTTTTTTTCTGCGACTGTAGTGCAGGAACCCCCTATTTTAGCTTAGGCAGAGAAGAACTCACCCAAAAGTAGTAAACTCAGGAAGGGGGGGAGAAAAAAAAAAAGCCCAACAAATAAACAATCATATCTGTTCTCAATTTATAAATAAGTTATAACATTTAAAGGGCTCACATAAAACATGCTAGCTTTCCAGAAAGCATCAAAAGAGCACAGACACGTACATTTATAAGAACAACAGGAGCATGAGGAGCATCTGGAAATAAAATTTAATTAAAAAAAATTAAAAATAATTAAAAAAAAAGCCCCAAACAGAACACGACGTGAACTGAGTCCTGGGATAACGGTACCATACGCTTTGTTTTCGAATATCAACAACATGCCGAAAAGAAGGTGCCTCACTGTACAGTACTCCGAAACTAAGATCTGCGGCGCTTTATTTATTTATTTACGTATTCCTTCCCCGTCTCCTCTTCTTTCCTCGATATTCCTCCTCTAGAATTTATGGCTGAAAGGCGCTGCCCGCCGAGGCTAAGCTCATGCTTTTCAGTTTATTATCCTTCTTCCATTTCATCCTCCTGTTCTGGAACCAGATTTTGATCTGGCGCTCGGAGAGGCAGAGAGCGTGAGCGATCTCTATTCTCCTCCTGCGGGTGAGATATCTATTGAAGTGGAATTCCTTTTCCAACTCCAGGGTCTGGTAGCGAGTGTACGCTGTCCTCGCCCTCTTACCGTCCGGTCCAGTCATGTCTGAATAACACGGACAACAGCGGGGTTTGGGTTTTGGCTTTTTGCTAGGATTTTTTTAGAAATTTTTAATCCTTAAGGCTATTTTATTATTATTTTTTAATACCGAGGTAAAATATTCGCCTTCTTTGGGCAGCTAGGAAAGCTGCTT